CAACACTCCCTTCCCAAACCAGTTAGTATAAGAAAAACCTTCTGGTTGATTTTTAATTTATGTAGAGTGTAATTTTTCATAGTTAATTAAAACCCTAATTAAGCTAAGATAAATATAGATTTTACTATATTTCCCATAAACCAAGAGACTCATCACTTCTATTTTTTCACAGTAATGGAGTGAACATTTATATTCATTCTGAGTAAAAGTAACTTCTGATATTCCTTAACCACATAGACTCTTGCTTTCTTTTTTTTCCTTCCCTCAAGGATTTTCTGATTCCTACCAATTATTTTTACAATTATGAAGACAGAAATAAGAATTCTTGATGATACCTAATATATTAAAGCATATAGTTAAAATGCTAATAATTTCAGCTCAGCACTTTTTTTACTTTTAGATTATTGCATTTTGATATTCAGGACATACAGGATCTAAAATATGCAGAACCATCTTGATCATGCAGTCATCTTGAGATGTTTAAGCATTTTTTTGAGCTATAAGAAAATAGTTGGAAAGGTAAGATTAGTAGTTTCACAATGTAACTCTGTTAGCTTTTTACAAAGAGTCCTTATAGGTATTATTTACTCAATTCTAGCTACCTTAGAAGACAAATGTGACCAGTTGTCAACATAGATATGTTACTGCTTTAGAAGTTTCACTTGTAATATTTTTTATTTAAATCTAAAATAAACATTTGAGCATGTCATTGAAGCAAAGAGTTCATGATAAAAAGATCTTAGTGAAAATATAGTTGTTTTAAAATACTTAGTTGATGATTAACATAAGTAGGTATTCTCTTTTATATGTTTGGCTGCTCCAAAGAACCTGAAAACTGAGTACATAATCATAGAATGCATATCTGATTAGGTTCTATTAAACCTGGTATTATTACAGTACTAAATGCTATTAAGCAATTTTTAACCAGGTCCTTTTTGTTTAAATTATACAATTCCATTAGAAAAACTGTTACATCCTTTTTTAAAAAAGTCTTAATTTGTATTCAGAGCATCACTGTCTCAATTCTTTTCTTTACTCCATTTATAATTATATTTCCTATTAATAAGGATTATTCCAATAAAAATTCAAGTCTTTATTGAGCATTTAATATATGTCTAGAGCTGTGCAAAATACTGTAGAGACAGTGGAAGAAATATGATTTATAGCCTGTGATCTCAAAGGACCAGAAATTTAAAGGAAAAAACTGATTTTTTTTTAAACTAGAAAAACCATAAGGAGGATCAAACTGAGTGCAAAACTGTGTGAGACAAACTTTGACTATTTAGAATAGAGAAGTCAGTTGAGGCTCAAATAGTTAAAGAGAACTTGACCTGGGCTTTGAAGTGATGAGTGAGGGGTGTGGCATTTGACTGTCGACTTAAAGAACTGACAGACCGATATCCAGAATAAAAGCCCTGGCTAAAGAAAATGGCTAAGTTTTTTGAAATTGAGAATTGTAAGTGCACATCAGATAAAGAATGCTATTATTTGTTTGTTTTGCTAGCTAAAATGATAATTTAGAGGTAACTATTGCAACCTATGATTATCAACTTTTAAAAAGTTAATTATTCTCAACTTTTTTACAGAGCCAAAAAAAAGAGAGACATAGTTTAAAATCTTAGATTATAGACTGAATGAGGAGCTCAGTGTAGGTCTGTGGACACTGAGTTCTTTACAAGGTCTTGAGAACTGACTGCAAAAGAAAATGTATTTTTGCCCATGCTTCTAAAGAAGAAATATGCTTTCAAAATGTCTTTAATTTGTGGTTTCTGACTCTGGTGTACCTTTTGAAATCCTGATTTTATATCATAGATTATTTTGAAATTACAGAACAAATAAAGAACAGTCATGCTAATAGCTTACATGTCAAACAAAGAACTAAAGTAAAAGATTTAAAAATTGACACAAACATAGAATTAAACTTTTATGTGAATTTATTGGTTTCAAAAACAATACTTTCCTAAATTGCCATTTTTCATTTGAGTGATAGTATAAGCATGGCAGATATTAAGAACCTACAGAATCTAAAGCATAGAAATATTTTGAAGTATAGAAATATTTTATGCCTTTCAACTAATTAAGCCTGATGTGAGGTCTTTATCGGAAGTTCAGTGTACATGGTCATGTGGACCCTTGCATCTGTAAAGATATGGACATGCTGGAACAGCATCAGGGAAAGTGGAAGCGTGCTTCCTATCTTGGTTCTGATCCAAGTGTATTACAGGCAAGATAGTCCAGTGGAGCCACTCTCTCAAACATAACAGATTTTTTCTAAAAAAAAAAAAAAAATCTGAATATTTCAAGTAAAGTCCATTTCTTGGATTGAGTTTCTATATACTTTTTGCCTTTTTAAAAAATTGTTTAGAATCACAGATGTTCACACATGCTAAAGGAAAAATCTAGACAATATAATTAGAAAATAGAAACCAAAAAAATCATTGCCCACTGTTAAGAAGAAATCACATTTGAAGTTTATTCTATACTTAATAGCCAAGAAAAGATTTAAAAACTTCTTTTGGAATTTTGAATGTATACATTTGAATGACGTTTTGAAAGAAGTTGATTGTTATGAGTTATTTGGAATTGGTCCCTTCTTCCTTTGCCATCTGAGATAGAAGGGTAGGGCACTGGACTGTGTTTATCTGTATATTTGTATTTTACCAATTATGTTATTCAGGAACAGAGTGTGGCAAAAATTAATTATCCAATTGTCATTATTGTTGAAACTTTCAAGTGATGAAAAACTCTTTCTAAAAATGTCCATCTTGGAAAAAGCTACCTGACTGTTACAATAATGAGAGAAACAAAATCACTTTGTGGGTTTACATTTTGCTGATAATGTAATCTGTTGGCTAGAAAGAAAATAAGCTTAATTTTTCTTCTACTTTCTATTGACTTGAAAAAGTAATGCTCTACAGATGATCTTTATTTTGTGTGTGTGTGTGTTTCTTTAAGAGAAGCTTAAAAAGATAAATGCTCTAATTTACTTTCAATTTATGTATTCTTTACAAGATAAAACTTTATTATTTAAATTTATGTGCTTGTTAAATGGACTCTTGTTTCATTATATGGGAAAACTGCAAATTCTTTTGGTCATTCAAGTCTAAATTTAAGATAAATAAATAAATCAGATATAACAAATTGCCTGAAATAATTTTGTGAATGAATAGTAATTTTAGAGTTTTTCCAGGTCTTTTTTTGGTAAACATTGCTCAAATTGTTTAATTTCAGTTACATGTATAAGCCTGATACAACTAGGTAAACTCATTGAAATAAAGAATGGTTTTTTTTCCTATCTGATTTCTTTTTTTGTTAAGAAACAGGAAGAGGTAAGATAAAACAAATTAAAGGATTAAGCAGACATTATGATTTGCTTAGGTTACAACACACACACATATTTTTTTTTCCAGCTAGACAAGTAATATTCAGTCCTCTAAATTGTGCCTGTAATACTGAAGAACATAAATATCCTTTGTTTTTCTTTAGAATTTAAGCTAGTATAAATAAATGTTTATCAATAACTAGAAATCATCTGTATTTAAGCCTTTTGTCAGAGTTTTAGTAATATCAAGTAAGACTGTTTTCTTTCTGAAAATTTAAAGTAAATTAGTAAACACAATTTATCCAGAAAAGTTTACTCTTTGGCATTAAATGTACAGAAGATTCTAATTTATAGAAATTAACTGAAATGTCTTATAATAGCTACTCAGATTGCAAACATTGAATTTTTATTTTAGTGAATTTTAGTTTTATTTGTAACTTGCTTAATGGGGATTTGTCTCAGAATTATCCACCACTGTTAAATATTTCTCAATCTGTACATAACATACTTATAGAAATACTTTTTTAAAGCAAGACATTTGGGAAATCTTCAAATTAGATGCCATAATTGAAATTACTGATCTAGGAAGCTAAAAAAACGAAATTATAAAAACCTCCCAGTTTTACTCTTAGCTTTGCTACTCAATGCCACCATAATCTCTCCTCAGAATTCTGTGTAGTTTCTGAGCCTCATTTTTTCTCTTACTAGTTGTTTAGTTAGGACACCTTCTTATGTCAGGAAACAGCGTACCAGCATAGCAGAGTCGAGTCATGACTTGAGTCCTTCAGTGTATTAGATAACTACTCTGTATCTCAGTTTATAGTCTATAAAATGTATGGTATAATTCCATTTTGGTGATGATTAGTGACTTTATGTTTGTGCTTTGCTTGAGTTATCCTTCAACCACAAGTTATGGCAGCTATATAATAATAATTTATTTTAAAAATCTTACTGTTTCTTACAATAGTTATAATTTTAATAGTAAGGACACATGTAATTATTATTACTGTTTTAGTATCTTTATCTACCAAATGGGGAGAAACTGTGTTCCCTTCAGAATTCTATAACTATAACTAAGACTATATTATACTATCATTTTAAAGTGTCCCCTAGAAGATTATGTAAAGGTACTCCAGCTTGACTACTAACATTATTGTTTATAATTTATAGAAATAAATTGGTTTTTTTGATGCCATGTGGTATCCCCAGGTTTACAAGTTCCCTAAAACTTCACACTTCTCTTAGCTGTTACCACATTTTGCTCTTTCTTCAGAAATAATGTAGCTTATGTCAATTATTCCATTTTACCATCAATATCAACAGAATCTATCATTAAAAATTCTCTTGTGTAATTCCTTTTCTTAATCTGAACAGATAGTCTTATGTAAGGTTGTAGCAAACCGATGATAATATACTTATATGGCATTTATGCTGTTTTCTGCTAGAAGGTGGGAGAGTGATTTACAAGTATTATTCTTAGGTTATATTTTGATTTATATAATAAATTTTAGTAAGAAATTAGGAAGTTGCTCAGTTACTTTGTTCACTCTATCCGTGGTAAATGTGCTCTATTTGATTCAGATGTTTTTCCTTTTTAGAATAAATTACGTGTATTTAAAACTGGGCTGGTCAATTTTCATATTCTTCCAAAGCTAATCATGTTTTCCTTTCATTCTAGTTCAGACTTGGTTCCTTCAATCTAGAGAAAGTTGCAAGCCCAGCTGACGTCATTAGAGAACTTATTTGTGACTGCCTGGACACCATTGCAGAAAACCAAGCCAGAAATGAACACCTGCGGAAAGAAAATGAAAGGCTTCTGAGAGATTGGAATGATGTTCAAGGACGGTGTGTGCATAATGTATTATGTAAACAAAAAACTCTCTTTAGATCATTGTAGTGTTAATGATTTGTGAATTCGTCACATAGTCTAGCATATATTTAAAATAAATCTGTCGTTAATTATACCTTTACTTAATATAATTGAACCAAATTACTGGTCACTGTTGTACGTTACAGTAATACATGAACACTTTTAGGTCATTAGTATTTGGTTGTCCCAGCAAACTTATAAATGATAAGGAGTAACTGAGCAATGAAAATAGAATTGATTAATATTAATACAAATTTAGAAAGTGGCTATTTATAAGGATTACTTTAGCTCAAATTACAGGATTAATAGTGAATAAAAAGAGACACAAAGCATAAATAAGCACAATTTATTCCTTATTTGGAATCTTTATATAAATGGCAACCATTTCAAATGATGTGTGTTTTGGCTTCTCATAGAGACTTATTTTTCCTGATAGATTGAAAATTCATACTACCAGCACTTTTAAAAGGTGAGGTAATTGTGACTACTGGAAAAGACATTTGAAAGCCTTTTACTTTTCTGATTTTACCTCTTATTTTTTAAATAATGAAGAGGAAAGTCATTTATTAATTATGAATTTTCTTAACTATTTCATAATCTAGGCTGGCCCAGGGTTTAGCCTATGTTATTCTGTTATGTAAAAGATATTTGAAGGAAATAAAATGTATGTTGTAAACATTATATCTCTACAGAGACATATGTAGTATAATATGCATATGTTTATATATATATATCTATCTTGCAACATCTGAAAGAATTATGTGGAATACATATAATAATTATAATTATTATTACTATATCCAGTGTGTCTAGTAGATTTTTAAAATTTTCATTCAAACCAGTAGTAGATCTAGAAGATAAGAACATTATTCTATTTAGGGTCTTTTTAGGGCAGTCATTGAGATTGTTTTTATGGACATTAGTAAGTATATATGGGGGAATAACAGAGTAAATGAAGGGTTTTATCAATATATGTATATAAAAATGAAGTCAACTAAAAGAAATTATTTGTATTTATTCAATCATCTTTATTAATGCAAGACATATAAAATAAACTTTCTAATACCTGGTTATATTCAACTCTCAGTTATTATATTAAGAAAATAGTTCTCTTTCAGTTCTGAATGAATTTTTGTCTTTAATCATATGAAAATAATGAACCAAATCAAATATGTATAAATACTAGGAAACCATACAGAAAAATAAGTTAATTTTACTCTTTAACTTCTATTTTATTCATGTTTGAATTGATATCAAATATCTGTTACAATCCCTGTTTTGGGGCCTATTTATATGTGAAATAAATCAAATTAAAGGAGATGTACTGTGTTTATGATAAGCCATAATATTTAAAACTCAAAATACCCTCAGGATGATAGGAAATCTGATCCACAAATTGCCCACAAAAATGCAGACTGGATACCTAGTACTTGAACAAATTGCTTTAAAATGTCTGCCAGAGTTTGGAAGAGGTGTTATCTCATCAATATTCAATACCACTGCCATAGAATGGAAAGTAGCAGAGAACAAAGATGAGAACATGTGCCCTGTGCTGTAATGTGTGAGGAGTATGGTATGTGGTCTACAGATGCTTGGTTTGCTATTTGTGAACTGTACAGAAAGTGCCATTGTGGCAAAACCTTTTTCTTTGATTAAAAGCACAGTCATATATCTTATCACCTGTCTTACTATGCTCCAGCTACTCTTTTTTTTTGTAAATACTGGATCAGATATCTTCTTCAGAGGCTGAAGATGTTTGCAATTAAGGTTACCCTCCAAACTAAGAGGAAAGAGTCCAACCTAGAGAATTCTAGGTTCTTAATTATATACCAGATGTTAGATTTTATCTATAAGGTGTGGCTAAGTAGGTTAACAGTTGTTGAGTACACAAGGCACAGAGTTTATTCTTGTATTATAATTTATTAACTATTGTATTATCTTCCATTCAAACAACTGTAAACCTACTTTTCCCCACTCCGTATTTCCCAAATTTGTTTTTTTTCCACCTATCAAGGGGGAAAGAAGCTATTTGAAGGAGCTATTACCATATCTTGCTCATGGCCAAGCAGTACTGCAGTACCTCCTTTAGGGCTCCCTTTCAACAGCCTTAGAATACTAGAAAATGAGCAAAGAATCTGCAGCTCCAGCTTCCATGAAGTAAGTATTGGGTTGGCCAAAAAGCCTGTATGGTTTTCCTTGGTCTCAAATGATGTCTTGATTTGATTGCTCTCAACTAACTGGTTTACCCGACTGTGGAGCATCGTCCAGCTAGAAATCTCCAGAACTAAACTTCGCTAACCACTCTTGACATGTTATCAGTCACAGCACCTTCTCCATACACTGCACAAATCTTGTTTTTGCATTTCAGTTGAGTGTTTACCTTTCTTGAAATATTAGAGCATAATGTGCTGAAAATATTACTTATTTTCTTCCATCTTCAGTATTAAAATGGCTACACAAAAATTCACCAGTTTTGATTTTAGATGTGCGGTGATATGACAGCTGTCACAATACAGTCTAATAAAATTGTTTCAAATGAAGTTAAAAATAACTAAGTGCTACCAGAGCCATCCTACAGAAAAAAACAAACGAACTTTTGTGCCAACCCAATAGTACTGATGAAGAGTCTTTAGAGAGATTAGAAATAGGACATACACATACTGAATTAAGTCACTGAAGACAGGAAAACAGAGACTCATTAGTTATGACCATAATGTTAGGTCTGGTCACAGTTTGGTTTTCTGGGCAACCTCTGATTTCTTTTATATCAGTGTTCATATATGATCCAATCATTTCTTCTCCGTCATTTTTCCAGACTGTATGCCTGGGGGAATGAAAGGAGGAGGAGCATAAAATAGGTGCAGAGAATTTCCATATAAGCTTGGTAGACAGGTCTCAAATATATTTAATACACAATAGGATATTATATAAGCAAAAAAAATCATGTACACATGTGCTTATATTGTGAAAATGTTATGGTATATTAAGAGGAGAAATATGAAGTTCCAAAAATATTAATAATACCCTTTTTTGGCAAAACTTGTCTTTAGATAGAAACTGTCTAGAAGGAGAAAAATGAAATTTTAATAGTCTACATCTGGAATTATGGATTAAATTTTACTTTATTTTGGGGGGTATTTTTGCATATACATAGGTATTTAAATATGCATTATTGTTATAATCAGTGCCAGCTCTAAAGCTATTTTCATTTGGGATGAGAGCAGAGAATCAACCAAGTTTGTGTAAGGCATGAGGAATTACAGTATGATTAAAAAGAATGAGCTTTAATATATAGACAATATATTTCCAGTTATTTTATTTACTTTTTTATAAATTGTGGTCTTAGCTTCATTTTGAACAAATAACATTACTAGATTATTTAATTTGATATAGTTTTGCTAGATAAAACATTAAAAATATTGTATGTAAATCCTCAGGTTATTATCTATATTTATTTCACTTTTTTTCTACTTAATTCTAAATAATTCTCATGTTCCATGTTACTGAATAGACCTTTCATTTGCATTGAGTTATCATGTTAGAAACTGTCCAGCTTTACTCTCATTTTAGTCGTTAAACCTATAATTTGAGACAGTTTTCAGCAGATTGAATTGGGTTGACATACATTGAGTCATTGGAATAGAAGAGACCTTGAGAGCTCCTCTATTCCATCTCTCTGCCTTTAAACTAGGGTCACATAATATCAGGATGAATTCAGTCTGATTTTTAAAGACTTCAAGAGATAGCTTCAGCTCCTCTTGGTAGCCGCTTATAGTGCTGAAGGACAGTCACAGTCAGAAAATTTTTGCTTCCATCTCTTGGTAACCTAAGTCCTTCATGGTGTAGTTGAAGGCCATTTCCTCCTGTGCTGTCCTCAGAAAAGATGAGGAGCAGCTGTTTACCATCTTCTTCAGTATTTAAGGCTTATTAAATCTCTTTACTGCTTTCTTTTCCAGTTCTTTTTAGCATTCTTTGTCCTCTGAACTCTATTTATATTTTCCCTTGCTGTACAACTCTGACCTGGATATAAATTTGACCAGAGCTGATTGTAAATATAAGGATTACTGTACTGCTACAAAGTACCACATGTTCACATTTATGCATCTGTTGTTTCATTTGGGATTATTTAATCTTTTGTTTTATTTTGGATGGTATTTCTACATGAAATTGCCTTGTTTTCTGCTCTTTGTTGTTTTTAAACTTGCTCCGATTCTTTGTTTTTCCACCCAGAAATATTTTATTTTGAATATTCAGTATTTTTCATGTTTAGTTAGCTTTTTAATTAAAAAAAATTACTGTCCTTTGGTCCAATTCCTAGATACCTCAGTCCTGTTACTAATTAAACTTAACATATTGTCCTTTCTCTTAGTCACCATTGAAAAGATGAAGCATCACTTAGGCCTTCCCTGTTTTAAGTGATTCATGGTTTTATCAGGTCTGAGCTTTGCCCTGGATATGATCCTTGGACTAAGTGTGGTCTGATCTAGTTGTATTTGTGTTCTCCTTTAGTATCACTAAACTTAGCAGTGAATCCCATGTCTCTCCTCCACTGTATATCCCACTTATTAATAGCTCTTTAGTTCTTGAGGTAGAGGGTTGGCAAGAGTCAAGAAATATGGAAGGCATGTTAATATAATGCCATAAGGGAGGATTGGCATTAAATATCATGTATGGGAGATGGTAGGTACCTTTTAGTAACTGAATAGTGAATAAAAGGATAGCATTCTCTGGATTTGTTGATAAAGTAATAATTAAGAGTAAATTTATTTCCTGAAACTGTTCACAGTAATACTCTGTGTGAGCTAACCCCAACTTCCCAGCTTTGTCTAGAAAGTGTTACTCAGTTAGATGATCAGAAATTTAGTTGCAACAAAATCCTAAAATTTTCCTAAAACCAAACAAGTTTAACTCAGAGGATGCCATTCATTCTGTTGAATTTGCTCTCCTTCTATAGCAATGCTGTTGCCTTTGACAGTCATGACACTAATTATTTAGATGAACAGTATTTTAGACAAATTATATCATATTTCATTTTGATATATTATTTTCATTTTTAATTCATATTGCTAAGTGTCCATACCCTTTCAATCAGGAATCACTGCAGTGTTTTATATGGATATTAAATATACATTTAAAGAAGATAAATTACTGATTGATTAGCATTCTTAAAATTTTATGTAATTAATTATAACAAGATTTTTTAGTGTACATATTTATAATTGGTTTTAACTTTAGAGTTAAAGTATTTCATTATTATACTCTCAGGTATTTTAGTGGTATGTATGTTCTTTTTCTCTTTTTAAAATTTTTGTTATTGTGTTACATTACAAAATAGTACAAGAAAGTGAAAAATAATATTCACTTAACACTTTACATCTGAAATACAACTGTAGTGACATCTTTCTGCTTAAAGTAAGCCATCAACATGGCAGCTCTTCAACTTTAGCTCTTTTTCCCTCCCACACCTTTTGGTTTACTTGTTTCTCAGAGGGCTTTGCTTGATGAAAGGAATACGATGATATTAATACTTACCACAGATTTTTTAGAAGCTTAATAAAATGAAAAACACTTCTGTGACATTGGTGACTAGCTTTTCAAGGAGTGAGAAATATAAAGTTCAGAATCACTGGCTCTCCATTTCCTTATAAGATATCCATATTAACTCACTGACTTGATTCATTTATCTCATAAATACCTGCTTAGTAGCTGTTGAATGAAGTACTCTGTGCTAGGCACTAAGGATAAAGTAGCCAGTAAAACACACGGGCACTCTGCCTATGAGTTCACAGCCAATGACTATGCTATAAGAGTGCTGTAATTGTTCCCAGAAAACAATATTGCCATATGTTTCTTTTCATACCATGAGAGGCCCTAATTCTTTGCATGTCTGGATATGTTGTTGAAAGCATAAGGGCATATATATCAAAGGTATAACATTTTGACATTTTTGTTTCTAGTTATTTTCACTGAAAAATATTTTATATATTTAACATATATAAAATGTTATAAATATATAAACTATATGTAGTGAAAATACTGTGATACCTGCATAGAACAACAGAAGCATAAATGAATATGGTTAAGAGAAAACTAGGCAGAGCTAGACTAAATTTAAAATAATTTATATTTGGATCTTTAAATAGATTTTTGTTCATGGTGTGTATATATGCACATATCAAGTACATGGAACCTTTGCTTGTTTACTTTCTTTATATATTATCTGGGAGATCAAAATTAGCACAATCTCTTGTTAGCTCATTTAAATATTGTGGAAAAAATTAGAAATGATAGAGAATTGTATGTTTTATCATATATATCTATGATTGAAGATATATACTGGTTTATATTTGCTGTTTTATGAACTTCTTAAAATTTTCAAATTGTATACTTTCATTTATTGTGTGTATGTCTGTGTATGTGCACATGGGCAGGTGCTGCTGGGTTATAAACTAGAACTGGGGAAGCTGCCCTTGGCCTGGAGCAGTTCCTCATCTATTTACAGAAAACAGATTAGGTAAATCAGTTGATCACAAAACAAGATGCTGTTGCTATTACGGTAATATTAACAAAGCAGTGGAAACATAGGCTTTTAGTTACTCTTGTTTCAAATTTCTCCCATAAAAATATTCATTCAGAAATAAACCAGAGATGTAAATGAATTATTGCATTTAGGCATTTAGATGTTTTAAAAGTTTTTTTTAATATCAGTTTCCAATTTGATCTTTATTTTAGTACACAAATTACTAACATTAAAGAAACCATGAGTTCTGATTGTTTAGCTATGTATATAAAACTTTAAATCAATGAAAGCATGTCAAAATGATTTTAGTTGTATTTTTCTTGAAAAGTTTTCTTGAAATCATCTTCAGTAATAGATTGTAAAATATTAATGTTAAGAAAACATGCATAGTTTATTTATTTGTTTATTTACATTTTAGGTTTGAAAAATGTGTGAGTGCTAAGGAAGTTTTGGAGGCTGATCTTTATAAACGGTTTATTCTGGTGCTAAATCAGAAGAAAGCAAAAATCAGAAGCTTACATAAATTGTTAAATGAAGTTCAAGAACCTGAAAAGAACACAGAGCATGAAAGGTATTTTGACCTTTCTGTTTTGGGAGGGCAGGTGTATAAATTTAAGTGGAATTCTTCCCAAATTAATCAAAGTTAGGTGCCATCTTTTTAGTAATATGAGATCATTTGATAGTCTGAGGTTGGATGCTCCTACTGTTGTTGGATACAACAGGGTGGAGAATTCTCAACAATTTCCCCATGTCTGCCCAACAGTCACACTTTCACTTAAATCATGAAACTGGCATGAAGTTTATCTAAATATTATTTGTTTAATGCTTAGACATTACCAAGAAATTGATTAAAAACTGTAATCTTCTGCACAACCACAGTGGGGTATAACACATTGGTAATCTTGATGTCTAAGTAATGGTTAATTTTAGAATCAGGTGGTGCTAAGAGTGGATATGTACTTGATTTTTAGGGAAGAATCATAGATGACTAAAGGCTGGTGTGATATGGACAATGATAATTATTTTTGCAATTGCAGATACAAGTTTGGGTCTATTGCCCTGAATCTAAGAGAAAACATAGGTTTACTAATGGCATAATAAAAAGAATATAGCATTTGATATCAGATAGTCCTATTTCATGTGCTGGTCTGGCACTGATATTTATTACTACATGACTTCATGCAAGTTGTTTAAATTCTCTGTGCCTTACTTTGGTATCTCTATAATAAGAATAAAAGTACCTGACTCAGAATTTTCAGAAGATCGAATGAAAGGCAAAACTGCTTTGAGATCAGTAAAATACTGAACACTCTGACCCACAGAAGAATAGCATTTTGATAGAAAAATGTGATGAGAAACTGATTCAAGAATTAATATAGTGAGCACTCAACCACTTTTAGATTAGCTAACAGATAAACTTAGTCTTAAGAGAGTTCCCATATAGTCTTTGTGGTGCTTTCATCTTCATCATAGGAGTGTATTTCAACATATGTTTGTTTAATTATAATATTTTCTCAGGGATATTTTCTGTGATTACTAGTGAATTTGATATCTAGCTGGGAGTTAGCCAATACTTTATAATTCTAACTTTCTCTTTTTCTAGGGAAACTGCAACATGTTCTGAAATGAATGCTGACAGAGCTACTGTCTATGATGAAAGTACTGACGAGGAAGGTGAAAACCTTCCTGATCCCTCAGTGTCAACTCCAGGTAAAATAAATACATTTATTTCCTGTTTTGAATATTTTACTTGGACTTACCACTCTAATGATAATAATCCATAATAGAAAATGCTATGAAAAAATTCTCTATAAAAACCCTTTAGGCTTTTTAGTCTAAAACCTCAAATACTAATGTTAACAATGAATATTTATTGTAAAATGCAGCAATTCATCAGCAACAAAAACACAAGTAACCATGCACACATATTTACAATCCAAAGTATACTATTCTTTGTTGAACAAGGATGCATAAGCGATAAACAATATATGCCTTCATACTGATTACCTCCAGCTCAGAGCTGGATGCCTATAACATTTGTGATCGAATCTAGGTAGAGCCATGGGTGGGGTAATGGAGTAGGGTGGTCTAGAATGTTTTAGATTATCCTGAAGTTGAGAACTTCTCTCATTGTTCAGAAAGGGGATTGTAATAGTGTCAGGTGGGGTCAGTGAGACAAGGAGAAATGGCACTTTACAGTACCTAAGCCTTTCTCAATACTTCAGGTCAAGTACTCAGCAAGGAGGCTTTTAAACAAACTACGAGTTATTTTACTAGAGTTTTATAGACTTTCTAGAGGGAGAAGCCCCTGAACTCATCTTATACTACATGGTTATAACGTAAACCTAATATTCTCAATATTAATGTTGGATTCATTTATTTAGCAAATATATTTTTGAGTGTCTATTATGTATCAGAAACTTTGCAGAAGAGAAGAAAATACAAACATTTCTAATTTTGTGGAGTTTAAATTTCTAGTCAGACAATAACAAAATGAATAAATCTAATATGAAATATGTTAAGTGCTAAAGAAAAAATTAAATCAGGGAGAAATGATAGAGAATGTCAGGGTAGGAATAGGATGAGTGTTGTGATTTTGGGCAGAGCACCAGAAAGGGCCTTGGTCAGAAGGTAACAAGTCTGTCTGTGGGGAGGACATGCCAGGCAGAAAGAACAGTTAAGTACAAAGGCCCTGAGGTCCAGGCAGTAGCCAGAGGAGCTTTCCTCATGTGTTCAAACAGCAGTACTGAGGGCAGCATGGAGAACGATGAAAGGTGATGATAGGGAGAGTTAGGAAAGGAGATCAGAGGAGGCCACATCGTGTATAGGGCTTTATAGTAATGATTTCAACTTTTACTTTGAGTTGTATTGCAAACTTTTGTAAGGTTTTAAACAGTCACATGACATGATCTGACTTAACCTTTAAAAAATTTAATTTAATACATTGGAGTAACATTGGTTAATAGCATTCTATAAGTTGTAGGTGTACAATTGTACAATACATCAGTTGTAAACTGCATGGTGTGCTCACCACCCAAAGTCTAGTCTCCTTCTGCACCATGTATTTGACACCTTTACCCTCTTCGTCCTACTCTCCCTTCCCAGCCCCATTCACCTCTGGTACCTACCATATTGTTGTCTATCAGTTTTTTTGTTTGTTTTCTTGTTAATTTGTTGTTTTCTGTTTTATATCCCATATATGAATGAAATTATATGGTTCTTGTCCTTTTATGTGTGACATTTCACTTAGCATTATACTCTTTAAGATCCATCTAAGTTGGCACAAATGGCAATATTTCATTATTTTTTATGGCTTAGTAGTAGTCTATTGTATGTATGTACTATATTTATGTAGTCATCTATAGGAGAAAACTTAGGTTGTTTCCATGTCTTGGCTATTGTGAATAATGCTGAAGTGAATGTATAGGGACATATATTTTTATGAATAAGTGTTTCCAGTTTTCTTTAAATAAATTTTTTCCAACATATCATTAAGAATATTCTTTTTTTATTGTAATTTTTCCATTACCTTTTAGTCCCCCCATACCCACATCCCACTTCCTCTGCAATCACCACACTGGTGTCCATGTCTGTGAGTCCTTTTTCCTTTCTGCTCAATCCTTCCACCCACCCCCTACCCTCCCACCCCATAGCTGCCATCCTGCTCTCTATCTATGAGTCTGTCTCTATTTTGCTTGTTAGCTCAGTTTGTTCATTAGATTCCACATATGAGTGAAATCTTACGATATTTGTCTCTTTTTTTAACTGGCTTATTTCTCTTAGCATAATGTTCTCCAGGTCCATCCACACTGTCACAAAGATTAAAACTTCCCTCTTTTCTAGGGCCGAGTAGAATTCTATTGTGTAAATGTGCCATACTTGCTTTATCCACTCAGCGACTGATAGGCATTTGGGCTGCTTCCATATTTTGGCAAATGTAAATAATGCTGCAATGAACATTGGGGTGCTTATGTTCTTTCAAATTAGTGTTTTAGGTTCCTTTAGGTTTATATTCCAAGCCATGAGGTCACTTGATCAAAGGCTGATCCATTTTTAATTTTTTGAGGTATCTCTATACTGTGTTACACAGTGGTGCACCAGTCTGCATTCCCACCAACAATGCAAAAGAGTTCCTCTTTTTCCACATCCTCACAGCACATATCTTTTGGTTTACTGATGAGAGCCATTCTGACAGGTGTGAGGTGATGTCTCATTGTGGTTTTAATCTGCATTTCTCTGATGATTAGTGACATTGAGCGTCTTTTCATATGTCTATTTGCCATCTGTACATCCTATTTGGAGAATTGTGTATTCAGGTCCTTCGCCCATTTTTTTAATTGGGTTTTTTTTTCCATGTTAGGTTTTGTAAGTTTTTTATAAATTTTGGATATTAACCCCTTATCAGATATAACAGTGAATACATTCTCCTGCTCCATGGGTTGTCTTTTTTGTTGATGATTTCCTTTGTTGTGCAAAAACTTTTTTGGTTTGATGTAGGCCCATTTGTTTATTTTTTATTTTTTGATGTATTCTGTGTGCGTTATAAGAAGGTGATCTAGTTTCATTTGTCTTCACATAACTCTCCAATTTACCCAACACCATTTATCGAATAAACTGCCTTTAGCCCATTGTATGTGCTTGCCTCCTCTGGGCTATGTATTCTGTTCATTGATCTGTGTGTCTCTTTTTATCCCAGTACCATGTTGTTTTGATTACTATGGCCCGATAGTATAGTTTGATATTGGGTAACATGATTCCTCCAACTTTGTTCTTCTTTCTCAGGATCGCTGTTGCTGTACAGGGCCTTTGTGGTTCCATATACATTTTTGAAATGTTTGTTCCAGTTCTGTAAAATATAACTCTGGAATCTTGATAGAATTGCATTGAAACTATAGATTGCTTTGGGTAGTTTGGACATTTTAATGATGTTAATTCTTCCTATCCACAAACATAGTATGTGCTTCCACTTATTTGTATCTTCTATTTCTTTCTTCAGGGTCCTATAATTTTCTGAGTACAGGTCTTTCACTTCCTTGGTTAGGTGTATTCCTAGGTATTTTATTCTTTTTTGAAGCAATTGTGAATGGGATTGTTTTCTTAATTTCCCTTTCTGTTAGTTCGCTATTGGCATATAAAAATGCAACTGATTTCTGGGTATAAATATTGTATTCTGCTACTTTGCTGAATTCATTGATCTGTTCTAGTAGTTTCTTGGTGGAATCTTTGGGGTTGTCTATATACTGTATAGTATCATGTCATCTGCAAAGACAGTTTTACTTCTTCCTCTCCAATTTGGATGCCTTTTATTTCTTCTTGTCTGGTAGCTATGGATAGGATTTCCAGTGCTATGTTAGATAAGAGATGTGAAAGTGGACATTCCTGTCTTATTCTTGATCTTAAGGGGAATATTTGTAGTTCTTGCCCATTCAGTGTGATGCCTGCAGTGGTTTGTCCTATATGGCTTTTATCATGCCTAGGCAAGTTCCCTCTATTTCCACTTTGCTGAGAGTTTTTGTCATAAATGGTGTTGGATTTAATGAAATGCTTTTTATGCATGTATTGATATGATCACATGGTTTTTATCCTTCATTTTGTTTATGTGGTGAATCACATTTATCGATTTGTGAATGTTATACCAACCTTGCATTCCTGGAATAAATCTCACTTGATCATGGTATATCACTTGATCATGGTATATGATTTTTATGATGCATTGCTGTATTCAGTTTGCTAATATTTTGTAGGAGATTTTAGCATCTATATTCACCAAGGATATCCTATATCCTATATCCTATAGGCCAAGGATTGGCCTATAATTTTATTTTTTGGTAGTGTTTTTATCTGGTTTTGGAATTAGGATAATGCTGGCCTTATAAAAGGAGTTTGAGAGCCTTCCCTCCTCTTGAATTTTATGAAATCGATAAGCAGAGGTGTTAGTTCTTCCCAGAAGGTTTGATAAAATTCACCTTGAACTTATCAGGTCCAGGGCTTTTGTTCATTGGGAGTTAGTTTTTTGATTACTACTTCAGTTTCACTAGGTGTAATTAGGCTATTCAGATTCTCTGATTCTTCCATATATAGTTTTGGAGGACTGTGTTTCTAGGACTTAATCCATTTTGTCCACTTTGTCCAACATGTTGGCAATATAGTTCATAATATTTTCTTATAATCCTTTGTATTTCTTTGTTGTTAGTTATTTTCCTTCTTACATTTCTGATTTTATTTGGGTCCTCTCCTTTTTTTTTTTTCTTGATGAGTCTGGTTAAAACTTTGTCAATCTTATTTATCTTTTCAAAGAAGCAGCTCTTGGATTTATTGATCTTTTGTATTATTTTTTTAGACTTTATTTCATTTATTTATGCTCCTATATATAATATTTCCTTCCTTCTATTCACTTTGGGCTTTTCTGTTCTTTTTCAAGTCCCTTTAAGTGTGAAGTTGTATTATTTATTTGAACTTTTTGTTATTTTTTGAGATAGGCCTGCCATTTCCCTTTTAGGATTGCTTTCCATGCGTCTCACAGATTTTTGAATGATGTGTTCTCATTTTCACTTGTTTCAAGGTGTCTTGTGATTTTTCCTTGATCTCATTGTTGACCCACTTATTTTTTAATAACATGTTATTTAGCTTTCATGTCTTTGCATATTTTTCTGTGTTATTCTTGTGATTGGCTTATAGTTTCCTAGCATTGTAGTCAAAGAAGATGCTTC